TAATCCCAGGGACTGGGGGCTGAGAACCTAAGCAACTTAGTAAGACCCTGTCTCAAAATAAAAAATAAAAAAGGGTTGGGTTTGTGTGGGGGATGCAATTTAATATGTGAGCTGCACTTCGGTTTTTATTGTCCCCCCATGCCCGACACACACACACACACACACACACACACACACACACACACACACGGGTTGGGGGTGTGGCCCAGTGTTTAAGCGCCCCTTAAACAAGGTTCAATGCCTGCTCCTAAAGGTGGGGAAAGTGAGCTATAGCAATAAGCATGACCAAAATGCTAAGAAAGCATTTATACAGGAATGTGGAAATTTAGAGAATCTAAGTTCCAAAAGAAAGTTATTTTTTCAACAGTTCTGAATTACTCCAATGGAAAGAAGGAAATACAGCGCAGTTTTAAAATATACCGAAGCACAAGATCTGAGCACTGTGACATCCTAGGGAACTGCTGGCTTTTAATATCATTTCACTCAAAACAAAATATCCTTCAGTAATTTTACACACCGTTTTGTATTACTGTTCTTATGTTATTCAGACGTCTCTCCCTGAACAAAGTGTAGAAGGTTTTAGACTCACTCGCCCTGTCTCCCACCACTTTAGGCTAAAATGCTCTCAGGCCAAACTGTCCCTAATTGTGCAGAAAACCTCCACAAAAGTTGGGAGTCCTCGTTACTCCGAAGTCGGGGCTCTATAATCATTAAGGAAGGATGGTCATAACCTAAAAAGCACATTCCACCTCCCAGATTTTATGCCTTCTAGAAAGTAGCCCTCATGGGACATCGGCCTCTACCACTTCTTACACATTGGCTCCCCCAGTTAGTGTCCGCCCCCTCCTTTCGCTCTCACTCACCCTCGGTTTCCCCCTGAGCCTTCATCCTGACGGCGGTGAGGGCCTGGATCTGCCACAAGAAAATAAGCTTTTCCCCACCACCAACAGGGGAACCAAGCTGACTGGAGCTCCCGGGACGCAGGGAACCAATAGTCCCCACCGTTCCCGGGAAGGCTCAGTCTGAAGTCCCCGGCGGCAAGAAGAGAAGGGTGCTCGCGGCCGCCGCCATCTTCCCCAACGGAACTTCCCAAGGATCGCGAGATTAGCCAGGATCCTACGAGACAGAGGAAGAGGATACAAAATCTCGCGAAAATTAGTTAAGTGTACTTCACGCGAGATCTCTATCAACCCATCCTTCCCTTAGTTGCCAGTTGCTTCAATCCTCACACTGCTTAGTATTGAACTTGTGGGCAGGTGGATTTTGGCCTCTTTGCAAAAAACCGGCATTTTCATTTTACAAATAAAAATATCTAATTCTGACCCACAGCAACCTAACGAGACTCTGTTGCAAAATAAAAATGACTGGAGAGGTAGCCCAGGGGTAAAGCGCCCCTGGATTTAATCCCTAGTACCAAAAAAAAAAAAAAAGAAAGAAAGAAAAAATCTCTAGCTCTCTTTACTGAAAAATTTGTTTGAGATTTTGTTTTGTCCTGGAGATTGAACTCAGGAGCGCTTAATCACTGAACAACATCCCTAGCCCTTTGTATTTTAATAAAATAAAATATTTTTATTTTGAGACAAGCTTTTGCTAAGTAGTTGAGGCTGGCCTTGAACTTGCAATCCTCCCTCATCCTTCAAAGCCGCTATGAAAACAAGCGTGTGCCACCGCGTCCAAAAAAAAGATAGTAAGTTTGGGCTGGGGGTGTACCTCATTGGGAACGGTTTATTCCACCTAACAGGGACCGGGTTCGTTCCCAACACCACCAAAAGAAAAGAAAAGTAAATTTCTGTGAGCTACTAACTGTAATAACTGTATCAGCCTAACAAGAACCATTTTCTTTCTTCTTTTTCAAATAAATATTTCTTTAGTAATATTTTTGAAGTTCTGTGAGAATTTTGGATTAATGTAAAATTGCTGGTTTGTAGCAGTCAATGCAACTAATGCTATTAGAAATAGTTATTATTTCTCATTGTGTCCCTTTTTTGTGATCCTAGTGAAAACAGGAAGCTTCACTTGTTTTCTGAACTACACTGTGAATCACAAAGAATGTGTGATTATCTCTGTCCTTATATTCTCACAAAGGGAAATTCAGGGTAATGCAGAGAACTTCCTCACCATTGGAACTGAAGAACTAGACTAAAATACAGTAGTGCTAGCAACAGGCACTTAACCACTGAGCCACATCCCCAGCCCTATTTTGTATTTTATTTAGAGACAGCTTCTCACTGAGTTGATTAGCACCTGGCTAAATTTTTGAGGTTGGCTTTGAAATAGCCATCCTCCTGTCTGAGCTTCCTGGGCTGCTGGGATTACAGTCCTGTACCACAGCACCCAGTAGGGTGAAACCTCTTAAGGCTACTTTTAAGTATTCTTTACTGATACACATCCTTTAAAATAATAACTGAGAAAAGTTGGATTTGCCTAGTTTGCTCCAAGATTTTTTTTTTTAATGGTTCCAGGAATTGAACCCAGGGGTGCTTAACCACTGACCCCTATCCCCAGCTCATTTTTAAATTTTGAGACAGGGTCTCAGTAAATGGCTTATGGCCTAAGTTGTTGAGGCTGGCATTGAACTTGTGATGATCCCCTTGCCTCAGCCTTACAAGTTGCTGAGATTACAGGACTGCACCACCATGCCCTTGCTCCAAGAATTTATGCAGTATATTACTAGCTCAAATTTTTCTCACATTTTAAAAACATCTATTCAGACATCTCCAAAGCAATCCCAGCAGATATTGCAGTCCAGGTGAACAGGCACAGCAGTATAAATTTAATAACTCTTTGGGAATACATGCGAAAATGTTTACTGCCACAAAGATATCTATAACATGCCCCTTGAAAGTACAATGCAATTTTTTTCTGTTGCCTATTCCTTATTCTCATTCCTTAGGATCTCTAGACAGTTGTTTGGGGCAGAATTGCCCATTGTTTCTGAATCCCCAATACCTAGTGAGCAAATCTTTTACTGGATCTAAACACTCTGCTAGACCCAACTTTTCTCCCTTTGCCAATTCCCAACCACATTGGCCTTTTCTCTCTCACAGAAAATACTTGCATTCCTTCCTCTCCCAAAGTCCTTCAACAGATTTCTAAAGCTGCTAGGAAGTCTCTACTCCACCTCACTAATCCTTTTTTATGTATGATGCTGGGGATTTTTTTTAAACATTTTTTTTTAACTTGTAGAGAGACACAATGTTTTTATTTTATTTATTTATTTATTTATTTTTACATGGTGCTGAGGATTGAACTCAGTGCCTCACATATGCTAGGCAAATGCTCTCCCAACTGAGCTACAACCCCAGCCCTTGTGCTGGGGATTTAACCCAGGTCCTTGCTAATGCTATGTTTGCACTCTTACCACTGAGCTACATCCCCAGCCAGGCCTTCTTAATTCTCCATTTAAATATCCCTTCCTCTAGACAGGCAAAATGGCGCACACCTATAATTCCAGATATTTAAGAGGCTAAGGCATGAGAATCCTTGCCATTTCAAGCCCAGCATTAGCAATTTAGTGGGACCCTGTCTCAAAACAAAAAAATTAAAAAGACAGAATGTAGCTCAATGATAAAGTGCCCCTGCTTTAATCCACAGTACTAAATAAATAAATAAATTTCCCTTCCTCTAGACCACAGAAACAACATTTCTCTTATCTCTGAGTTTTTTAAAAATATTTATTTAGTAGTAGATGAACACACAGTATCTGTATTTATTTTTATATGGTGCTGGGGATTGAACCCAATGCCTCATTCGAGGCAAGCACTTTACCACTGAGCTACAGCCTCAGCTCCCAATCTCTGAATTTTTCTGTTAAATTATTTCAAAATTTTCCACCCCAAATTTTGTTTTTAAAAAACATTTATTTGGGGCTGGGGATGTGGCTCAAGCGGTAGCGCGCTCGCCTAGCATGCGTGTGGCCCGGGTTCGATCCTCAGCAGCACCACATACCAACAAAGATGT